AGAAGAGCCGCCACTTCAAGTGGCGGCTTTTCTTAACCACGGTTAACCCAACAGTATTTTGGGAAGTATTTTTAACCCAACAGTATTTTGGGAATTATTTATTTAATTAACATTATTTCGGGAAAAAACTCTAATTTAGAACGACAGTTTTTTGCTCTTATTTATTAGGTGAAAAAAAATGAAATAATTGCCCGCTTATTACTAATGACTTTGAAGATTCCAAAACCATGACCAATTACCCAAATTCCAAAAAAAGTGATTCAGCCCTTTTGAAACGGTCCAAGAACTGTGCGACTTCCATACGGGCTTCCCTCTCTCTTCGCAGATTCCCCCTACGGGCTTCCTTCTCTCTTCGCACTTGATATTTTCGCACCACCATACTCCGCCAAAACCGCCGGACTGCCTCACCGCATAGGCCGTGCTCTGCCTCTTCTTGCCTCGCCAGACAGGTTGCCGTTTCTCCTCCTTGTTGCTTCTCTACCTCGCCGTTTCTCCGCCTCGCCGCTTCTCTGTCTCGTCTCGCTGCTGCGCCTCTCTGTCCCAAGGTTGATGTTCGTTGACCTTCTTCAGATCGCCGTCGCCCTACACCGCTTCTATTTCTTCTCTTTCTGTCTGGCGTCGTCCTGGAGATTGACGGTCGGGATTGTGGTCAATGATAGATCCGGATCTAGATCCATGGCGATGGTAGCTATGGTAAGATCTGGGGCAGAAGGGTCGTGGTGGGCTTCGATGAGGGCTAGTGGGCATCGATGGGGGCTGTATGGGGATTGTTTGGCAATGACAGGGCTGGATGAAGTTTGGACAGCATCCGACAGACGACGGCGTCCCCCACCGGAAGGGACACCTGGCAGCGGTGATCTCTGGCGGTGCAGGCACTTTAGCCGGTGAATGGACAGTCACTTTGGGCCGGGTCATTGTGACCGGTGCGCGGGCGGGCAGTCACTTTGGTTGGAGGCGCTGCTGTCGCTGGCATTCACTTCAGTAGGAGGTGGCGTAGTCACTGGCGGGCGGTGGGGCAGTCACTGGCGGGCGGTGGGGCAGTCACTGACGGTGGGGCAATCACTAGCTGCGGAGTCACTTTGACCGTAACCGGAGTCACTGAGCGTTAGTCACTATGGCCGGTAGGCGGGAGTCACTTTGGTGACAGTCACTGTGACGTCAATCACTGTGGCCGGAGTCACTTTGGCCGCCGGTGGAGGCGGCGGTGCCGGTGGCGCGGCGGTGGCGGTGCCGGTGGTGGCAGAAGTGGTGGTGCTGGGGTCGGCGATCTGGAGGTGCTATAAAGGAATATTTAAAAATAAATATATGATTAATTATAAGGAGTAAATAACTTTTAGTCACATTTTAAGAAAAATTTAAAACAAATCACTTTTTTATCTTTTTCATTTATTTTAGTAATATTGGAATAAAAAGGCCAAAAACAATTTTGGAATTTCACATTATTTTAAATCCTATTTCTGAAAATTCCGTTTTCAAAATATCATTATATATATAGTCTAGGATCAAATAGGCCCCCCTATACCTGTCCGAAATGTTAATTGGTCTCCTGAACTCTAAAACGCTCAAATTCACCTATTGAACTCGACAAAAAAGTTCAAATTTCATTTTATGCGTGGAAAAATCCGGTCACCCTCACGTCGCCCAGTCAGATGCCAACTGTGCATCTCGCGTGACAATTTAAGGGGACAAATAGGCCCATGAACCTCACCGAGTTGTTCAATTTCTCCCCTCAACCTTTAAATGTGTAAAAATTGCAAAAAAAAAAAAGGAAAACCAATATAAAATAAGCTAGATACGAGTCGAAAGTATGAAATATAGATAGTCATTAAATAATATAATAAGGAAATATTTTTATTTGCGGCACATTCATAAAAAATAAACTATAAGAAATTCTTTAATTTTTTTGTGATATTTTAAATCTATTTTTTTAATGAATTGAACAATACATGTTTTTACAATTTAAAATTAAATTTGTATTACATGTATTATATGTAATACAGTAATAATTGGTATCATAAAACATTTTTTAGAGTTGTATTCTTGATTTGATATTATCATTCAATTTTTTTATGTGTTTGATAACCCTATTTTCAATTATTAGTCTTATCATTCAATTTTTTTTATCAATCATGTAAATTTTAATTTTGTGTGTTGAAGTATATAAAAATTGAAATAAGTAAGTATGATATTACTATACTGTCTTAATTAATCGGATGAAGTTACTGTAGATAAATGTTTTAGCTATTTTTCATAAAATTTGATCCTTATTTTATTAATAAAAAATATCTTAGATACAATTTTTTCATAATGCAGCAGATCGATTCATCCCCTCAGGAAGAATTTCTAAATTTCATATGTTTTACTAGATTCAGCCAATTTCAGTCTTGCCAAATGTGCTCTTATTTCTATAATGTCCATTTGTTAGTCATCATCATCATTACCCCGGTGCCGCAAAGGCTCCCACCTACAGTGGAGTAAGGAGGGATCGGATGTACGCAGTTTTACCCTTGTACCAAAGCACACAGTGACTGTTTGTGAATGACCCATAGTGAAAATCACGTCGAAAATTGTATGGACTGACTGCTACTTCATAACAAGGAAGCACAAACAGTTTAGTGAGTCCTTTTCTTTTATTCCATCATACCCTCAAGCCAAAAAATAGTGAGTCTTTGGCTCCATTGCAAATGATGGAAATAGAATGTCCATTTGTTAGTAAGAGAAAAAAAATTCAATTGTAGGTTAGTAGATCCTCAAAATGGTATAAATTAAAAATAGTTGAAATATATTCAATTCAGTAATTGGTAAGAACATCATTTGTAGAATTTAGGATCTTTTTACTTGGACTGTAATTTGCTAGTCTGGTCTGGTCTGGTTTGGTCTGATCTGGTCTGGTCTGAACTGGTCTGGTCTGGTTTCTTTGTATTTTTATAACTATTCATGTCTGGTCTGGTCTGGTCTGGTCTGATCTGGTCTGGTCTGGTCTGATCTGGTCTGGTCTGATCTGGTCTGGGACAAATTACAGTCCAAGTAAAAAGATCCTTAATATAGTTTGATAAAGCATTGATTGTATGGAAATAAAAAACAGTTCTTATAACAATATTTCTTAAAATATTCAAAACAATATGACGATATTAGCAATGTATGTTTCGGTAGAAAATTTATATGTTCCAAACTTTGATATGATAGTTTTCAAGAATACATTTTTACATAACTTTATTACATAATCAGAAACAAAACAAATATATATTTTCACATTTTCTTAAGTAACAATATTGCCTTTTTAGTTTTGGAAATTGAACAATGTTGTTGTAACTACTGATTTTTTGTTTTTTTATAAACATTAATTCCATAATTTCTACCTATTTTTATCTTTATATTCATATTCCTTACAACACAAACGAAGAAAGGAACATATTTTAGAGTAAATATTTTCAGCTCTGAGTGTGACACACTAAAAAACTAGAAAGAACAAGTTATTCATAGAAGGTTATACGATTTTTATAATATTTAAATATCTTACGGAAACGAGAGATACTAAAAAATAATGTATACATACATTCAAATACAATTTTCGCTTCAGTTTTGTATAAATGGAAGGGTAATTGTTAAGAATATATTTTAGACTAAATAAAAATTATCGTAAAACACGCATACTTATAGAAGCGATTAAGCGAACCTAATAACGTCCCACTCTTCATAATAATCATATGAAGATTTTTAAAAAATAAATAAAGTGGATAATTGTGATTTTTTATTTTCCAAATATATTTTAAATTAAGAATTCCAATTTATCTTTATATTGATACTCTATAGCCTATAGGATAGTATATGACATCAGAGAACTAAGGATGTTTTCTTTTGAAATGTTTTCAGTCCCAGACCAGACCAGACCAGACCAGATCAGACCAGACCAGACCAGACCAGACTTGACTTCCGTAGTTATAAAATACATAGAGACCAGACGTTTACCAGACCAGATCAGACCAGATCAGACCAGACCAGACCAGACCAGCAAATTTCAGTCCAAAAGAAAACATCCTAAAATAATAGTTATCATACTTATCATTAATAATGTAAATTTATAAAATAATATTAATTGTTACGTTATTAATTAGATTCATTATAAGTAAAACACAAAATAAAATATGATGGTTATAATTAATTTTATAAAGATTAGAGTATATATTTGTTGAAATTACATGTAAGTAGTTTTAACACAACCTTGTATCATGTATTCAATCTTCAATTTAAAAAGTATATGCACATTAACAATCAAATAAAATATTTTATGAACAAATTCATCTTTTCACATGTGCATCCACTAGTTAATGTAGTTGCAATACTATTGAATTCGATCAAAGTATTTATTTCATCACAAACATTAATTTTCTACTCAAGTATATTTAGTAATTATAGTTTTTTCTTAAATTAATAATTGTAATTAATAATTAATAGTTATTAATAAAAATAGATATATACTCATAAAGTTTTCTTTGAAATAATTATATTTGATAATTATTAGTTATTAATAAAAATAGCATACTATAGATAGTTTGGTTCATTCAGTTATGTTTTTAGGTGAAAATCAATATAGGTAACAACTCCAATTCAATTCAATATATTTTTGGGCTCGGTTTTTTTTTTTGCGGTTTATTTTACGGAGTATTTTACATTCAGATCATTCATTTTCATATGAAACTTTTTTCATTTTAATTTAGAAATCCATTTTTATTATTCTATTTGAATTTAGTTTCTCAATAGGTAAACTTATACTCGTTGTTTTAAACCAAAGTGTTTTGAACCAAGAACAAACTAGATTTAAATAAACCCGATCAAGCATGACTAAAATGACCAATTATATGAAACGAGATAAGACTTAATAATTAGTAAAATACATACATTAGAGGTTTAATTACTAGGGATAGACTAGACCAGCCTTATATATATATCAAATTAGAAAATCTCGATCCAATTAAAAACATTGTAATGCTAGACTAGCTATTTGTTGTGAGAGATGAGATTTTATGATCAATCAATTACAGAATATTTGATTGATACGCAAAGAGAATGTAAACTCCGTATGTTTTTGTATACAGTTTTTAATATAGACTAAATACGTGTAGTTACCGGTGGGCGTAGCTCAACTGGTAGTGAGGGAGTGCCACAAGGGTTAGGTCTCGGGTTCGAATCCCGGCAACTGCGATAAGGGGTTGCTATGCTGAAAAATGCATAGGGCCTCTGCAAGTACCGGGGACGGAGCCCTACTCTCTATCTGTCAGGTTGTGATTATAGTCCAACATACATCCTCACATCGTGCTGTCCATTCGGTGTTGGGGGGCCTCAGGGATGGGGCGTCATCCTTTTTTTTTTACTAAATACGTGCAGTTTAATTTCTTTAATATTTTTCTTTCTTTTTAAGGTTATCCCGATCCTATTATTCCCACACCCGGCAAGGAGAAGATGGAGCGGTTCTCGCGAAGCCAGCCAAGGGGTGATGGAGCTGTGCCTGTGTCCGATCTGCCCTGTGGGCAACGATGGTAATCCTCCATCTGAATCACAAACTTCATACCACGTATAATTAATCCTCTGAATTTAGTTATATAAAAGGATATATAATAACCAGTCAAATAAAACCCGACGTGACGCACATGTGGCGGCGGTCCACGTGTGCGACATGTCATCACGAAAATGAGTGTCAGGACTTCCACGGGCATGACTGGACTGCCACATTTATTTGTACCACGTCAGCATGTCACATGCTGACGTAGGATAAAAATATACTATTGTACGTAGTATTAAATAATACGGACTAGTAACTAATACGGAGTATTGAACACATAAATTAAACTCAGTATTCCGTGGGTGCAGGAGTATATACGTATGCGATTGGTGTGTGTGCGAGAAGGAAAGGTACCGCTGTTGGCCGTTCTGCTGTTGCTTCAACAAAAACGCAACGTAGAGAGCGGAGCTTGTTCCATTGGGGTCTTTCACCATCTTCTTTCAGTTCAATTCCTTAGAACGTTTAATAATGAATCTGTTCCAATAATTAAGAATTGTGCAAGTCCCAAAGTTAATTATGTGTATCAATAATGTCTGTCTTTTCCCCATATTTGTACTATCATGTCCGTTGTCTATTTATTCGCCAATGACTTTATTTAGCCAAGAGCAACGACAGAGTGAGTGACATTTCTTATACGTATAAATTATCGAAACCTTCTCCAAGCTAGCCAGTTTCATTGAACCAAACTAACCTTTCACGATCTATATGTTGTATTTCAATTCAAACAAGTAAATTTGTCACTGTAGGTTTGTAGTACGTACCATGAAAATGACATTATTTTCAAACTAATGTTTCATGATGGAATCATGGAGAGTGATTATTAGAAAAAATAAAATACTAATTATGGCACTTTTAGTTCCAAATGGTTAGAAATTGAAAGTAAATTGAAAATTTTACAGATAAAATTTATTATATACTTCGTATCTAGGATAAAGTGTTACAAAAGTAGAACTTCAATTATGTAGTATAGTTTCTCTTGAGGATCGATTCCTTTCCGGCTCAGGTCTCCAACCCTTTTGCTATACTCACACACACCACTCTAGGCTAGACTACAACACAACTTGTTTGTTACACAAGTCACCATGTTTCTTCTCTACCACTAAGGTATTCTCTCTCACACTCTCACACAAAGGAAATGGAGAAGAAGAAGGCTAGGGCACTGCTCTCAGGAATATCTAATGCAGGCTACTCTCACAAGGAAAAAAGGAGCTAGATAAATAATAGGCTGACCAACACAAAGGACACTCACGGGTGATGCAAAGACAAGGGGGACTGCAGCGGACAGTTCAAAGGGGTCACTCCACATAAGTCAAAAAGCCATATTATTGGTTAGGAGAGATTCAAAACAAGAGGTGCCAAAGTGGGAGTAAACATGGGGTGCAAGTCAATAATAAAGTGGAAGGGAGGCCTTAGTGGGACCAATACCTCCAACATTCTCCACCTTATTGGTCCTAGGTGGTGTAGAGTAGCAATACAAAGTTGTGAGGAGACTCATCATTGCCGGACCATTACAAGTACATCATTTCGATCAAGTAATAGATGAGAACCAAAGTTCCATTTCGGACCAAGCTTACCATGCAAACCCGGCCAATTCACGATGGACTGAACTCTACCAATCGGTCCTCGAGTTCAGAACCAAAACCATCACAAACCTATTAACAAGCACAACACATGTTAATAGACCACGCAAGCAAGCATCCGGGAGAAGTTGGGGATTCCAACTAATCCAACAACCACACAAACCAAATACAAAGAAAATAAAAGAAACAATATTATTTCTATAACTAGCACAGGCGGAGCTCACATAATCACTTGGTATCACATTTTCAAAAAACAAAGAAAATAGCATACCAAATATCACAAAGATTTTAATTAATAGAGATTTAAACACATTTAAAGCAAACTCAGAGGAAATATAGTCAAACACTTTGCACATATCATTTTTCTCATGCTCCCTAATGTCTCTATCTCTAATAACATGGCAATCACGCAACTCAAGCATATTGCACACAACATTCATATCATGCTCCACCTTAATAGAAATATTATTTTCTTTATTTTCACCATGAAAAACATTTTCATCCACAAATTTGGGTTTGGTTTCAACAAGTAAATCAGAATGAGATTCAACAGGCAAATGATCCACCTCATTTGGAGCAACATCAGGAGAAACAAGCAAGCAAGGAAATTCATTTTCAACAAAAATGACATTTCTACTCATCAACACATTGAAACAAGTTTCACTCCTACACCAAATCCTATAACCATTCATGCATTCATGATATCCCAAGAAAACATATTCCTTAGTCCTAGCAGGTTCAGATTTATCATTCTCACGATTCACATAAGCAGCACAAGCAAACACTCTCAAATTTGGCAAGTCAAGCGGTTTGCCCATGAACACATATTCAGGGCATTTCCCTCCTAAGGGAACAGACGGGGACAGATTAACCAAATCAACAGCATAACAAATAGCTTCCCCCCAGAACTTATTAGAGAGCCCAGATGAAGCTAACATAGCCCTCACCCTCTCTAATAAAGTTCTAACCATCCTCTCAGCAACCCCATCCGGTTGAAGTGTGGAGGGAACAGATTTATGCATAGAAATACCCCAACTATCACATAAATCACCAAGCTGATTATCACAGAAATCAAAACTGATAGTGGTCCTTAAAAAATTAATTTTCTTACCGGTTTGTTTTTCAACAAGGGTTTTCTAGTTTTTAAACTTATCAAAAACTTCAGATTTATTTTCAATCAACAAAACTCACACTTTCTTTGAAAAATCATCAATCAACGTCAGAAAATAATTTTTCCCACCATGAGTGGAGACACTACAAGGACCCCACAAATCAGCATGAATACACTCAAGCACATCAGTACATTTAGGCAGATCAGGAAAACTAACTCTAGACTGTTTTCCTAGCACACATAGTTGCACACAATTCACACAATCAAGTACGGGTTTAGCATGACAAACATACAAGTTGTTTTTCATCTCGGCTTTGAAAACAACTAAACAACCCATCACAACTTTCATGATTCTCTTTCCCCATTTTCCCTTCAAACCCTCATTTTCAAGAGAAGCACAAGATAGCAAATTACAACACAGCTCAGGAACATGCCTAACATTCTTCAAAGTAAGCACAGAACCAGAAGAGAACCTAAGGGGGGTGGGGGGGGGGGGTCGGGGGTTAATTAGAAAACTATATAAAAAAAGGAACTGGCCCGAGGCCCGGCCCGACCCCGGTGGATAACCGGGCCGGTTCCGGGCCTACCCCCAAAACCCAAAAAGCCCGCCGGGCCTAGGCCCGCTCCATCACTACTGTAGAGAAGAGGCGCAGGGAGGAGGGTGAAGGCCGGGAAACTTTGAGCAGAATACTAGGTGGAAGAAGACAATGGGTAAATAAAGAATAAATGGAGAAGTTGCAGAGATTGAGGCGCAAGGAAGAAAGCCCACGGAAGAAAGCGCAAGGAAGAAGAGAGCAAAGAAAAAGAAAGAAAGAAAGAAAGAAAGGAAAAAGGAAGAAAAAGAAAATAAAAAGCAAAAAAAATCACATCACACAACACACAAGCGATTGACGGGGGAAATTGAAAGAAAACCTACTAAAACTCTAAAAGGAGAATTTGCCACTTTTAAATGAATTTAGGGGTTTACTTAATTGTTCTATAACGATTACTTAAGGATGAGGTTTTATCCATTCTATCATAAAAGATGCAGATTAAACCATAGCTCATGATCTTATACATTTTGATATTATTTATATTTAATTCATTTAGAACAAACACATCAACAATTATTCATTTAAAAATGTAAACCATAGCTCCAAGGACGAGAGGTGCAGGCGTGAAACTTTGATGACCCATCACATAAGTGAATAAAAAAGGTTACCACAGATGATCAAAAGTACCCAGTATTTATTCCCATTGTTATTTCCAAAAGAAAAAAGAGCAAGGTGTATGGAATCATAAGGCCGTATTACAAACTATTGAACACTTTCCCACTTTTCTCCAACAATGTATAAGAAATGCTTTAAGATATTTATAAGTAAGCTGAAGTGGGCTTTTATGTAGCATATGTCACATGCAGAGCTTACATTCTCGAACTCGAGATGTTCTTCAGTTCCCTTTTCAGAACCTTACCTGCTGCAGACCTTGGTATACATTCTCTAAAGAAGACCTTTCTGACTTTCTTGTATGGTGCTACCTGCCAGAAAAGTATATCCTTGAGCTGTTATGCAACCAAAGATCCTCAGGCTACTGCTTCTTCACTTTTGAGCACACACTAACTAATACACAATGGGGGGGGGGCAGGAAATAGAGACCTGTTGGGCTACAAAATTGATTACAGCTGTCGAACACAGAGCACAGTCAGCTCTCTTAACCACAAAGGCCACTGGGATTTCCCCAGCTTCCTCATCAATGTCTCTAATACAATTTAACACTGTCATGAGCTTCATATACAAGATAATAAAGGGCTATAATAGTATAAGTTAATTACTCCCTCCGTTCTCTAATACTTGTCCCTCTTTCCATTTTGGGATGTTCTCTAATAGTTGTCTCCCTTTCCATTTTTAGAAAGTTTTATCAATAAATATACCTATATACCCTCCTTCTCTTTCCTACTTTTTCATTCTCTTTCCTACTTTCTCATTTAAACACAACCCACTACACCTTTTACACTACCCTTATTATTTTCCTCTTAAAACTTGTGTCAAACCCTATAGAGACATCTAATAGAGAACGGAGGGAGTATAATAAGAACAGATTAGAAGCTAAATGTTGATCCAGACGTACGAGGTTACTGCAGCATCAATAATATCTGGATGAGACAACAATACAGCTTCTAAATCAGCAGGAGCAATCTGAAGATGACAGTATAGCACAATGAGAAAGATGTAGTTCCAAATCTCAATTTCACTGGGAATTCATACACTTGTCCTATTCCTAGATTTTTAGAATTTTAAGGAACCTTAAATAACTACAAACCTGGAAGCCCTTATATTTTATGACATCTTTCAAGCGGTCAAGCACATAAAGATATCCATTTTCGTCAAAGTAAACAATGTCACCTGTGTGAAGCCAACCATCATCGTCTATTGTAGACTTGGTGGCCTCAACATTATTTACATACCCTAAAGAACAAAATGCCAAAGTAGAAAGTTAAATTATAGGGTAAAACAAACACAAAATTTTATTTTGGTAAAGGAAATGAACCCGGTGAGCAATAAATATACCCTTGACAAAACCTGTTGAAAGTTTTAGACTTAAATGGCTTTGTAGACAAAGGAAGTATAATTTGCAGCATTTACCTTTCATGACACCAGGACCACGTAGCCAGAGCTCACCAGTGCTGTTTGGAGGTGACGATGAACCAGTAATCCAATCAACAACTCTGGCTTCCATGTTTGGTGAAAGAAGTCCAACTGACGAGTAATTACGTAGCTTCTCGGTATTAAAACCGCGTGTTCCGAGAGCCGTGGACTCAGTCATGCCATAACCCTGAGTCCAAATTGTATAACCAATGCTCGAAATACTTTATAGGGAAAGAGGTGCAACAGTTTATTAATGGGAATGTATTAGAATTGCATTGTGTTTTTGTCTAGTTCTTAGTTTGTGCACAAAGTAGTTCTATTGTTTCTCACCTCCAAGTATTTCCTTTTATTGAATGATGCATGTATCACACACATATATACACGTATGCATACGCACATGCACATGTATTGTGGTCACAGTGAGAATGGGGTTTCCTGTGCTGGTAGTACGAAATTCAAAGGGTGCATTTTTGGTTCACCATGCTGCTATTTTTTGATTCAAGAGTATAGTTTTCACCATGGCAAAAAAGTTTGATTTATTTACGAAAATGTTACCCATTTTTTTAATCAAATGTATTGCAATACTAACATTTCTAGTGCCTTAGATCTCAAAACCAATGCACTAGATTTATTCTTATTTCTCACATTAAAATATCTCCTTGTTTTAAACTTTATACACACATTTATAAAAGATAATAAGATTTGGACCTGAATGAAGTCAACATGGGGGAGAGTGTGAATGAAGTCCTCGATACATTGCATACTCAATGCAGCAGCTCCACAAGAAACCTGTTTCAAACTCTTCATACAATTTGGATGTACATGTTTTGCTCTCCTTGTCAATGCCATTAGTAATGGTGGGACAAGAGGGAAATGAGTAACACCATATTTTTCAATAGCTCTTACCATCTCATCAGGATCAAATTTTCCCATCACAACCACAGTAGTGCCCAGAGATAACAACCCCATCGCAAAGAGACACAGCCCATACACATGAAACATGGGTATAACATCCAAGTACACATTTATTGTACTTAGTTGCTCATACAGTGAAGCTTCAAACCGCACAAACAGTACAACCATAGCTATGAAATTCTGGTGAGTCAACAACACACCTTTACAACTCCCAGTAGTTCCTGAGGAATATAGTATAACTGCAGTGTCCTGTTGCTTGATTCTCAGGTTTGGGGCCGATCTAGGATCGGATGAAATCAGCTTTCCAAAAGTAGAACCCAAATTAGTTTTTGAATCAACCACGAAATTCTCTGTCAATCCAATAGCCCGGACGCCTAATTTATCCAATTCATCAACTCTATCAGGGGTAGTAAATGCCAGTCTCACATTACACTCACGAACCTGCTTCTCTATCTCTAACAAGCTGCTGAGAGGATTCATGGTGGTCACAATTGCACCGACACTCAAAGCACCCAACAGAAGAACAGGGAAATAAATGGAATTGGGCAGCAGAATTAAGACGACGTCACCTTGAGAAACACCCATTTGGTGATGAAGGCCACTGGCTGTGGACTTGACAAGGGAACGCAATTCAGGGTATGAAATTGAACCCTCGGATTTCGAATCAACCAGAGCGGTCCCGCCGCCATGTTTATGCGAGAAAATGAAGGAAACAACATCCAGAAACGGATCAGACGGCAATGGAAGCGAAGGGTATGTGCTTCTATAAATTCCGGTTTCGGCAGAGTACCAATGGGGGTTTTGGGCCGTCGGTGGGTTTTTCAGGAACCGCGCCGCCATGGAAGGAATCTGAATCTACTGGTTCTTCTGTGCGAAGGATTTTTCAGATCAAAGGTTTGAGCTTGGAAAAGACAAAGCCATCCCGAAGATATAATAATTCTGCCCAGCCGGGGAATCAGAAACGTGCACGATTGTACGGAGAACATAGCAGTCACGTCCATGTTCATGATTCGGTGTAAATGCAGAAGGCCCTCCAGCTCCTATGAACCAATGAGGAAGAAGGGTCGATTTATGCGTGTCAGGTATATTTCGACTGTCAGGCCCGCACAAGTTGTTGGCTGCCGGCCCTTTCTTTCTTCTTTTGTTGTATGCTCTGGCCTTGCATGGCGGTTGGCTTCCATGCCTACCAGTCTTATCAACACTCAATGCTATGATCACAACATTCTTTTTATAGTAACTTATATGATCACAACATTCTTTTTATAGTAACTTACTACTATATGTAAGGCTTAGGGAGTGTTTGTGATTGCTTCTACTTTAAAAAAGTGATGTTTTAAAGTGATTTTGGAGAAAGTACTTAATAGTAAAAGTTGGTAGTGTTTGAGAAAAAAGTGATTCTGAAAAAGTAAAAGTTGGTATTGTTTGGTAAAATAAGTGTTTTTTAAGTAATAGAAAAAGTGAAAAGCAGTTTAAAGCACCCTTCCACCTGCTTCCAGCTTTTAGCTTTAAAGTGATTAATTTAAGCAGAAGCTGTCATTTGAAAACACTCTTTTCAGCTTTTTTTAATCCAAAAGTTCAAAAGCACTTTTTTTTAAGGAAGTGCAAACACTCCTTTATACCAGTGGGCGCAGCTCAACGGGTAGTGAGAGAGTGCCACAAGGATTAGATCCCGGGTTCGAATCCTGGCAACTGCGATGAGAGGTTACTATGCTAAAAATGCATAAGACCTCTGCAAGTACCGGGGACGGAGCCTCACTCTCTATCTGTCAGATTGTTATTATAGTCCAATTTACTCATCGTGTCGTCACTCAGGGATGTGGTGTCATTTCTTATATGTCAGACTTATTAACCCAGTTGGTTAATTTTTTCCTATTAAAAAACAAGTTGGTTACACATTTTACACATTTTTATTTCTATTATTAATAATGGTCATCATCTCACTCTCATACTCCTCTGCCCCATAAAACTAAACAATAGTTGACTTGCATGTAAAATAATAAAGTAAAAAATGGTGTGCTTGATATTTGTGCAGAGAAGAGGAAAATTTTAAATATAGTCTACATAATATACAAAATCTTTTTTTATTTGATTAAAGATTCATATTTTAGTATTTTGTTTTTAAATACAAACATTAAATACTAATATTTATATCTAATTAAAAGGGGTTCTGTCATAAATATTACTAAAAAAGGCTAATGGACAAAAAAGTGACCTTTTCTTTTAGTTTCCAAAAAAAGACTAATAAACACCTAGATGTCTAAACTACCCTTCGTGATCGCTGCATTCGGAAGTTTAAGCCGTCAAAATTTCTAAGTGCAAGTGCTTAGCAATACACTCCGGGAGTGTTTGCAACAACTTCTGCTTAAAAAAAAGCACTTTTGGGTAGGGCTGAGCATACCCGACCCAACCCGAACGACCCGATCGGATTTATCCGATCCGTGGCCTTTGGGTCGGATTACCCGACCCGAAACTGACCAACCGAACCGGCCCGACTGTTAGTGGGCTGCCTATAGGGTTCGGTTAGGGTTTGGGCTTTTCCTACCCGACCCGCCCGACCACCCGATATTACAGGCCCAGTATATTTTAATATATATACTAATCCTAAGTTCCTAACCCAATAACCCATAACCCATTAACCCAACCGCCCAACCCTACACCCTTTAACCTAATCTCACTTCACTGCTTCACACTTCGCTCACTTCAGCGCCTCTTTCCTTCGAAACCCTAATTCTCACTTCTCGGTTCTCTACTTTTCTGACTCTCACTCTCTCAGACTTGGCCGTCGTTGGTTCGTTGCTGGGTAGCCGATATTGTTGTCTGACTCGATTGAGTAAAGCACTTCTCTAGTTCTACTGTTCTACACTTGTTTGTTTGTATGATTGTCTCTGACTTCTCGGTTCATAATACGGTATTATGAATTTATGACTTATGTCTGTCTTTGATACTTGATATGTTGGTTTATCTTCATCTGTTGCAGTCCATCTGTGTTCTGAGTGGAACTGTGGAAGTGTGGAAGCCCTCAAGGCCTCAAGCCCATAGTCCGAAGTCCGAACTCTGAAATCCTTAAACTCTGTCCTTCTGCAGTTGTGTGACCCAATATATTATATTTTCCTTAAGCTTTGAGAATCACTGAGTCACTGAGGTATAAAATAATAAATACTTTTGCATGTTGGAACGTGGAAGCATTGTTTGATGATGAAATTGAAGTTTGACCCAATGTATTCTGTGTAAATGTGTAATTGTATATGCATATGTGATATACTGATATGTGGAAGCTTGAATAAGGTATTGTTGTTTGACATGTTTGTGGACTTTGTACATCAGAGTGATGATGAAATGGGTGTTTCTGAATTCTGAGTGTCACTATGTGAACACCTTAGAATGATGATGAATTACTTATTAAGTGATTTGGTTGAGACTTGAGAGTTTTCTGAATTCTGAATGTACAATGTCAATAATTTGTTTTGGTTATGACTTATGATGTATTATTGTTTTAATCTGCAATGTCTTGCCCATAATACTAATATACTATGATGAATTGATGATGAGTCATGAGTGGAAGCCACCCTGGTATGATATTATTATTTGTCTTATACCTAGACATGTCAACATGAATTGGTTATTTGGTTACTTGTTTTCTGAATGTACAGTGACATATTGACATCTGATCACTTATCATGTGGAAGCTTATGATGTCAATGGGTTGCCTATTTCTCATTTCTGAATGTCTGTTGTGTTGCCTATTTGTAGATAACTGCACTTATGTACTGATTGTTGATGAAGAAGCCTTTTTTTACTCTTGTACTCAAAGGAGTAATGAGAGTTGACTGGTTTCTTCCAAGTCTGTAGAGAAGTGATTATGCACAATGCATATTATCCTTCTGTAGATCAGTTTGCTGATTGTTCCAGACTTAGTGTATCATGTATGGTGTTACTTGAGGTGTAATCTTAACTATATGACATAAAATGTTGCTTTTTTATTAATGTGTCAATGTGTGATATGTTGCCTATCATGTATGATGAATTGATGATGAGTGGAAGCTACCCTGATATTATGTGCATAGATGGAAGGTCAAACTCCTGAAAGTGTGAACATATCTTTATCTGGAAGTCAACCTCTTTTGAGTCAAGAAACAGTGGTGGAAGCTGAAATTGGTGATCCTAACACTACCAATGACCCATCTGCAGTCACAGAACCACCTCCTGTTTCTGGACAAAAAAGGAAAAAGGTTGAAGTCACTACAGTCAGATCTAAGATTTGGGAGCACTTTTCCAAGATTAAAGATAGCAACGGTGTGGTTATTAAGGGCAAGTGTGATTATTGTGCCAAAATTTATTGTTGTCACTCAAAAAAGCATGGTACTTCCTCCATCAGGAATCACATGCTTAGCTGCTTAAAAAACCCTCATGCTAAAGACACTAGACAGGCCCTTTTAACCTTTCAATCAGTCCCTCCACAGCATGGTCAACCTTCTGAAAATGTTGGGGTCATAGGAACCTGGGTCTTTGATCAAGATGCTACTAGGAGAGCTCTAGGAGAAATGCTAATCATTGATGAGCTTTCTTTTAGATTTGTAGACAGACAAGGTTTTAGGAAGTTTATGTCAGTAGCATGTCCTAGATTTGTAATACCTTCTAGGTGGACAATTGCTAGAGACATCTATCAGATATACCTTGATGAAAGACTTATCCAAAAAAAGATGTTCAGGGAACACAGTCAAAGAGTCAGTATTACCACTGATACATGGACCTCTGTACAGAGGATAAATTACATGTGTATAACTGCTCATTTCATTGATGATCAGTGGAAGCTTCAGAAAAGAGTCATTTCCTTTGTCCCTGTCACTTCTCACAAAGGGGAGTACCTAGCTAAAGCCCTAGAGACTTGTTTGCTTGAGTGGGGTCTAAGAAACATTTTCACTGTCACAGTAGATAATGCTAGTAGTAATGATACTGCTGTTGGGTTTTTTAAGAAAAAATTGATGTCTTGGGGTGCTTCTTCTGTGAAAGTCAAGTATGTTCATATGCGTTGCATTGCACACATTTTGAACTTAGCTGTCCAAGATGGGCTTAAAGATGCTGATAGTTCTGTTAAGAGAATTAGGGAAGCTGTTAAGTATGTTAGGAACTCACCTGCTAGACTGCAGAAGTTCAAAGATATATCTAACTTGATAGGAGTGGAAGCTAAGTGTGGTTTGCACCTGGATGTTCCAACTAGGTGGAATTCCACTTACCTGATGCTTAAATCTGCTATTTCTAATGAGAAAGTGTTTGAAGCGTATGAGGAGAATGAGAGTGCATTTGGTACTGATTTGGGTAGTGACATTCCTGATGTTTTAGACTGGATTGCAGTTGAAACTTTTGTGACCATTTTACAAAATTTTTATGAATTGACTCTTAGAGTTTCTGGCGCACTCTATGTTACTTCCAATACCTTCTTTTCTGAAATATCTGATTTGTTCCTTGTCCTAAAAGACATGGTTGCCTCTCCATCTGCTTCTGTCAGTGCAATGGGGACTACTATGAAAGCAAAGTTGGACAAGTACTGGGGTGATCCTGAAAAAATGAACTCCTTGATCTTCTTTGCTAATGTGTTAGACCCTAGGGACAAGTATGAGTATATGCCATTTCAGCTCAATGCTTTATATGGTGAAAAAAATGGTGCCTTGTTTTTTGCCAAAGTGAAGTCTGGCCTCATTGAGTTATATGCTGATTATGTTGTTACATACTCTGATTGTGTTGGTGGAAGTTCTAATTCTAGTTCACATAGTGCTGCATCTGTGGAAGTCAATAATGCTGAGCACAGGCCAGTGTCAAGATTTAAGGCTGAGTTAAAAAAAAAGAAACTAGAGAATGGTCAGTTAGGAGTTAAAAAAACTGAACTTGATATATATCTTGAAGAGTCAATAA